AATAAATACCATGGGTGAAAATAAATAAGGTAGAAAAATACAAAGGAAGAATAAAACAGACAAAAATATTAAAACACACACATAAATAAATATATTAAAAAAATTAGTAATAAATAAAGTTGAAGATTATAAGGGAGAATAAATAAATAAGGTAATTATAACAAAGGTGAATAAGTAAAGGCACTAATTAAAATATATACATTTATGTCTCCTTGTATAATTTAATTAATACCAACATTTATTTATTTACTTTATTTTTTTGTGTATTTATTTGGAAGCTTATTTATTTATTGAGCATTTATTTATTTCTGTATTTATTTCTGACTGTGTCAGGATCGGTCCTCCATAGCGGGGTGGGAGAGTTATCAAGCACGTAAAGTTTGGTTCAGATGTTAGCATGTACACTGAAGTTACAACAACTTCCTGTGTCATGGCGAAGACTTGATCTTTGACGCCACGCCACGGACACACCCATTGACGAAAACTCGCAAATAGCACAACTTTTCATCTTCAATGTCTTTAGAAGGCACAGCACAAATTTGAAGTCGGTCGGACTAAATCCCTAGGAGGAGTTCGTTAAAGTACGAAGTGTGTAAATCATCCAAAATTTGACGTAAAATTCAAAATGGCCGACTTCCTGTTGGTTTTAGGGCATTGCTCCAAGAGGCTTTTTTGTGCATCTGGACAAGATACACGTACCACAGAAAATTCGTGCACGTAGGTGAAACGTGCGGCGGGGGCTGCTTCGTTAAAAGTCACTTCCTGTTGCCAGCAGGTGGCGCTATGACTGTGGGTGAATGTCGGCATGTACATGTGTTCAGGGCGGGACTCTCATCCTACATGTACAGTTTGGTCCAGATGTGAGCATGTACACTGAAGTTACGACAACTTCCTGTGTCATGGCGAAGAGCTGATCTTTGACGCCACGCCACGGACACGCCCATTGACGAAAACTCGCAAATAGCACAACTTTTCATCTTCAATGCCTTTAGAAGGCACAGCAGAAATTTGAGGTCGGTCGGACTAAATCTCTAGGAGGAGTTCGTTAAAGTACGAAGTGTGTAAATCATCCAAAATTTGACGTAAAATTCAAAATGGCCGACTTCCTGTTGATTTTAGGGCATCGCTCCAAGAGGCTTTTTTGTGCGTCTGGACAAGATACACGTACCACAGAAAATTCGTGCGCGTACGTGAAACGTGCGGCGGGGGCTGCTTCATTAAAAGTCACTTCCTGTTGCCAGCAGGTGGCGCTATGACTGTGGGTGAATGTCAGCATGTACATGTGTTCAGGGCGGGACTCTCATCCTACATGTACAGTTTGGTGCAGATGTGAGCATGTACACTGAAGTTACGACAACTTCCGTGTCATGGCGAAGAGCTGATCTTTGACGCCACGCCACGGACACGCCCATTGACGAAAACTTGCAAATAGCACAACTTTTCATCTTCAATGCCTTTAGAAGGCACAGCAGAAATTTGAGGTCGGTCGGACTAAATCCCTAGGAGGAGTTCGTTAAAGTACGAAGTGTGTAAATCATCCAAAATTTGACGTAAAATTCAAAATGGCCGACTTCCTGTTGGGTTTAGCCTATGGCTCCAAGAGACTTTTTGTGCGTCTGGACAAGATACACGTACCACAGAAAATTCGTGCACATAGGTGAAACGTGCGGCGGGGGCTGCTTCGTTAAAGGTCACTTTCTGTTGCCAGCAGGTGGCGCTATGACTGTGGGTGAATGTCGGCATGTACATGTGTTCAGGGCGGGACTCTCATCCTACATGTACAGTTTGGTCCAGATGTGAGCATGTACACTGAAGTTACAGCAACTTCCTGTTTCATGGCGAATCATCGACGCCACAGACACGCCCATTGACGAAAACTTGCAAATAGCACAACTTTTCATCTTCAATGCCTTTAGAAGGCACAGCACAAATTTGAGGTCGGTCGGACTAAATCCCTAGGAGGAGTTCGTTAAAGTACGAAGTGTGTAAATCATCCAAAATTTGACATAAAATTCAAAATGGCCGACTTCCTGTTGGGTTTAGGCTATGGCTCCAAGAGACTTTTTTGTACGTCTGGACAAGATACACGTACCACAGAAAATTCGTGCACGTAGGTTAAAAATGCGGCGGGGGCTGCTTCGTTAAAAGTCACTTTCTATTGCCAGCAGGTGGCGCTATGACTGTGGGTGAATGTCGGCATGTACATGTGTTCAGGGCGGGACTATCATCCTAGATGTACAGTTTGGTCCAGATGTGAGCATGTACACTGAAGTTACGACAACTTCCTGTTTCATAGCGAATCATCGACGCCACGGACACGCCCATTGACGAAAACGCGCAAATAGCACAACTTTTCATCGTCAATGCCTTTAGAAGGCACAGCAGAAATTTGACGTCGATCCGACTAAATCCCTAGGAGGAGTTCGTTAAAGTACGAAGTGTGTAAATCATCCAAAAATGGCCGTAAAATTCAAAATGGCCCACTTCCTGTTGACTTTAGGCTATGGGTTCTTGAGGCTTTTTTGTGCGTCTTGATATGATACATGTCCCCAGAAAATTTCGTACATGTAGGTTGAACGTGAACGAGGGGCTAATCTTTTCCAATTTTCTAGGTGGCGCTAGCGAGTCATTTTGCCACGCCCATGTGCGAAACTTGTAGAATACGAAATTTTTCACCGGTTCTGACATGTTTGCAAATTTTGGTGAGTTTTCGAGTATGTTTAGGCCATGTCATTTGGGCCTACTTTGCAGAAGAAAAAAAAAAAAAAAAAAAAAATAATCCGAGCAAATTCAATAGGGACCTCGCACGGTCGTGCTCGGGCCCTAAATATATATATAATCCGAGCAAATTCAATAGGGACCTCGCACGGTCGTGCTCGGGCCCTAAATATATATATGTGTGTGTGTGTATATATATGTGTGTGTATATACACTACCGTTCAAAAGTTTGGGGTCACCCAAACAATTTTGTGTTTTCCTGAAAAGTCACACTTATTCACCACCATACATTGTGAAATGAATAGAAAATGGAGTCAAGACATTGACAAGGTTAGAAATAATGATTTGTATTTGAAATAAGATCTTTTTACATCAAACTTTGCTTTCGTCAAAGAATCCTCCATTTGCAGCAATTACAGCATTGCAGACCTTTGGCATTCTAGCTGTTAATTTGTTGAGGTAATCTGGAGAAATTGCACCCCACGCTTCCAGAAGCAGCTCCCACAAGTTGGATTGGTTGGATGGGCACTTCTTGCGTACCATACGGTCAAGCTGCTCCCACAACAGCTCAATGGGGTTCAGATCTGGTGACTGCGCTGGCCACTCCATTACCGATAGAATACCAGCTGCCTGCTTCTGCTCTAAATAGTTCTTGCACAATTTGGAGGTGTGTTTAGGGTCATTGTCCTGTTGTAGGATGAAATTGGCTCCAATCAAGCGCTGTCCACTGGGTATGGCATGGCGTTGCAAAATGGAGTGATAGCCTTCCTTATTCAGAATCCCTTTTACCCTGTACAAATCTCCCACCTTACCAGCACCAAAGCAACCCCAGACCATCATATTACCTCCACCATGCTTAACAGATGGCGTCAGGCATTCTTCCAGCATCTTTTCATTTGTTCTGCGTCTCACAAACGTTCTTCTTTGTGATCCAAACACCTCAATCTTGGATTCATCCGTCCACAACACTTTTTTCCAGTCTTCCTCTGTCCAATGTCTGTGTTCTTTTGCCCATCTTAATCTTTTTCTTTTATTGGCCAGTCTCAGATATGGCTTTTTCTTTGCCACTCTGCCCTGAAGCCCAGAATCCCGCAGCCGCCTCTTCACTGTAGATGTTGACACTGGTGTTTTGCGGGTACTATTTAATGAAGATGCCAGTTGGGGACCTGTGAGGCGTCTGTTTCTCAAACTAGAGACTCTAATGTACTTATCTTCTTGCTCAGTTGTGCAACGCGGCCTCCCACTTCTTTTTCTACTCTGGTTAGAGCCTGTTTGTGCTGTCCTCTGAAGGGAGTAGTACACACCGTTGTAGGAAATCTTCAATTTCTTAGCAATGTCTCGCATGGAATAGCCTTCATTTCTAAGAACAAGAATAGACTGTCGAGTTTCAGATGAAAGTTCTGTTTTTCTGGCCATTTTGAGCGTTTAATTGACCCCACAAATGTGATGCTCCAGAAACTCAATCTGCTCAAAGGAAGGTCAGTTTTGTAGCTTCTGTAACGACCTAAACTGTTTTCAGATGTGTGAACATGATTGCACAAGGGTTTTCTAATCATCAATTAGCCTTCTGAGCCAATGAGCAAACACATTGTACCATTAGAACACTGGAGTGATAGTTGCTGGAAATGGGCCTCTATACACCTATGTAGATATTGCACCAAAAACCAGACATTTGCAGCTAGAATAGTCATTTACCACATTAGCAATGTATAGAGTGTATTTCTTCAAAGTTAAGACTAGTTTAAAGTTATCTTCATTGAAAAGTACAGTGCTTTTCCTTCAAAAATAAGGACATTTCAATGTGACCCCAAACTTTTGAACGGTAGTGTATATATAATCTTAGCAAATTCAATAGGGACCTCGCACGGTCGTGCTCGGGCCCTAAATATAATCTTAGCAAATTCAATAGGGACCTCACACGGTCGTGCTCGGGCCCTAATAATCTTAGCAAATTCAATAGGGACCTCACACGGTCATGCTCGGGCCCTAATAAATGGAGTTAGTTTTTTTTATCTGGACTGGAAAATCTAGCAGTTTTGTCATTTGTAATTGTCATTTTCAATACTTTCTGAAACTAGATTGTATTTACCTGCATTAAATTGGGGTGCAGGCAGAAATGTCAGAGAGGCATATCTAACTGAAAATCTGGGGAAATACAAACTTGTAAAAACCAAACGATCTGCAAAATAAAATAAAATTAGTTTTGTTTCTCTGTAAGGCAGGTGAACTGTCCAGCGTTCAGATTAACCTATTGGACCTCTGATGGACCTGTTCCCTCTCAGGTTCTGTGTAACGTGGACGAGCTGTTTGAGAGAGACGAGCTGTCGGCAGCTCCTGATCCCGGCTGGCCCGACTGCTTCAACTCTGGAGTGTTTGTCTTTATACCATCCCTCCACACCCACACCCGCCTTCTGAATCACACCCTGCTGCATGGCAGCTTTGACGGTAATACATGACTACATGTCTGGGCTCCAACTAACAATCAAGGAATGCTCTGTGCTGTGAACACTGACAACTCAACTGAATATATTCATAGAAAATTTTAAAAAAAGAGGCTAGACAATAAAATGAATTTAAAATGAATGAAAGTGGCCCATTGTTCAATCAAGATACACAAGATACAACTCAGATCCATATCCAGATTTACAGCTACAAATCAATCTGCATTTATTTGTGAATTGTATTTTAAAGAAACAAGTCATGCATGAGTTTGCGGATTTTGTATGACACAGCTGTCTCAAAAGAATCAACACACTAGGTGGAGATTCATAGATATATTTCTATTGAAGAATTCTAATTGATGTACAAATGATGATTTACAAGTTGTAAATTAGAGGCACAGATTCAGATCGACAGATACAAATCACTCTAAATTCGTTTGTTTGTTTTATAAATTTCTGCATTCAAACCTTGTTTAAAGGAGATATCTAGTCTTTAGAGGGACCAGCTTTTATTTCCAGCTTTTTGTTTTTATTCTGGGACTACACTACAGCAGCTTTGCATTATCTTATCGTGGCCCTTTATGCAGCCCCTCAGTTCATCCTCCTGTCTGAAAGAAGTCGTTATAGCTCCTATCCCTTCAATGCTTCACTCCGTAAAAGCCAACGTTCTTCTGATTGGCAGAGGGGCAGCACTCAGTGCTTGTGAGCTTTGCTGCCTGTAAACTTGCAAAACAGCGATATGGGGCACTGAATTTGATGTTTATCAGACCACAAGTGTTTCTGGGGGACAGTGTAGGTATCAGATATGCTTGTTCTGGCAGATATGCAGATTTGATTTTGGTGAAACAGGATCATATTTTATGAAGTTTTTAGATGGACAGATAGCTTTAAAGTAGCAGCTATCTGCTGCTAACTGTAACTTGGGGAGACTGTGGCTCAGGAGATAGAGCGGATTGCCCATTAATTGGAAGGTCGGTGGTTCAATCCTTGGCTCCTCCATGCTGCGTGTTAAAGTGTCCTTGGGCCTTGTGTGAATGTTAGTTTCTGTTTGAGCACTTAAGCTCAGTGTGTGAACGCAGATGTAGTGTAAAAGTGCTTTGAGTGGTCAAAAAGACTAGAAAGGCGCTATAAGAATAGCAGAGGTGGTTTTCAAGGCCCAGTCTGTGAGTTAAATGAATGGATCTATCCATCCAATGTCTATAGCTTTTAAAGATTTTGACTTTACTTATCATGTGATGTTACTTGGTTCACAGCTTCACACATATTTGGTTAACAGGACTTTTACTGCAGCTTCTTAAAGGCTTAAACACAGTTTAGCAGGTACTGTTTATTAACCTTTACCCACTCATTTGCCCCGTGTCCATATTCCGCTTTGTTTTATTTGATTTGATTTCGCTGTGCTGGAAGTAATATTTGAGCAAAATAAATCCTAATCAAATGATTTGTGATCCTTTCTGCATCTGCAAAACAGACATGTCTGTGTGGGGAAAAAAAACAGTACGGCTGCTATTTATACATGTTAATGTTAGTAATATTATATTATATATAACAATTTTTATTTTCATATTATATATTGTTGCTGTCAGGAGGGGACCAGGGCCTGTTGAACTCTTTCTTCAGTAGCTGGCCAGTGGAAGACATCAGTAAACACCTGCCATTTGTCTACAACCTCAGTGCCAGCTCCTTCTACACCTACCTCCCTGCTTTCCAACAGTGAGTCTGCATTGCCAGTGGATGTTTCCCATTATAGTCTCTACACACTTTATTTCTGGATTAGAGTTAACCACATTTGACTGTTTCACCATCTTGGTTTAGGTCAACTTTCCATAGTTTGGGCCATAATTTCTATCTGTAATAACAAGACTGTACTCAAGTAAATGCCAATTTCCATCCATGATTTTCATACCACTATTCTGTATTTACATTCTGAGTAAGGTTGAAATGATTTAACTTAAATCAAGAGACAACTGTTGTGTGTGGGTCACAGGTGTGTGTTGCATTGAACATTACGTCATGGCAGTTATGTGCGCCGTTGCTATGACAACCAGCTACAACCGGCCAAACACGATGCGAGTTGAGCTGGTACCAAAAATGGAAAAGGGGCTTTAGCGACATCCAAGCACTGTACACAATCATGTGCCTTTGGTTTGTATTATATTAAGATTTCAGTGGTGGAAAGAGTAACAAAACTCATGTCTAATAAGCAACTGAGAGACAAAGCTTACAGGAGATTGGTTGAATATTTACTTAAATGGACATAACACATCACATGTTAGTGGCCTGTAAAGTTTGAGCAGCCCTTGTGGCTCTTTTTTAGCGCCTTCCTCTACCCACTGATCTGTTTGATACTGCACAAACATACGCAAGTTATCATTTTGTTCCCGCAGGTTTGGCCACAATGCAAAGATTGTCCATTTCTTAGGAGTACTGAAACCCTGGAGCTCACGCAACCAGAGAGACGACAGCCACTCCCACACCATGGAACAGTTTGTTTCTCTGTGGTGGACGGAATACCTCAGTTTCCCAACAATGTCTCTACCGGGGCCACAGTCCAGTCAAGACTGTGAGAAACCAAAACCGGTACAAACGTCAGTGTGATATGAAATCTTTATCTCCTCACTCTGATTGGTCGGTCAGCCAGGTAGGAGCATAATATGTTGCTTAAAAGCAGGGCACCTAAATGAAAATAGTTGGTTCCCCTCAAGCACAATCACACTGTTAACAAGCTTCTCTAGTCAGGGAAAGAAAGTTTAAAAGGCCTCTAATTCAGGTCTGTAAATTTTCTGTACTCTGATCATTATCTGTGAGCTCACACAAGTTAACTAAAGCTACAGCATCATTAATAATGACTAGAATTGTTAATTGTTAATCTATGCTCATGATCTTGATACACTGTGACCTAAAGACAAGAACAAAGCAACATTCTCATGTACTGCTATACGACGGGCATTGGAGCTTAACGTTAGGAAAAAAAAGACAAAACACCACACGATCATGGAAGATCACATCCTGTAGAATAAACCAGAAAGGCTGTAGGTTGACTTGTCATAGTGGGAAAAGAACAGGGTTACTAATAAAATTAATTCCATTCAGTGTAAACCATGACAGTAGGCCAGCATACACAATACCAGGGTTGTGGAAAGCAGCCACAGTTCATGTTATTAGTGTTTGACCACGGGGACACAGATTAAATTGATAATTTATGTGAAACAAACTAAACTTTATCGTGTGAGTCACTGAACTCAGTTTCCCACATATCCTGGATCCAGCTTTCAGCTATGACTGATTAGTGACCTATGACCCAGGACATCACCTGATTAACAATACCCCAGCACAACTTCTGCTCTCTCTCTTTTATCTGGACTCAATCACTGAAGCAGCAGCTGTCTCCCAGCTGCGACAGGCAGCACAGAGCAGATTGAACTGGGCAGGAAATCAGACGCAGAACAAAAAAAAGAAACAATTTAACTATGTAGCCTACTCAATCATAGTAGAAGCACAAACAAGCACTAATTACCAAATCAACTAAACCTAAACATTTCAGCAAAATCAGGCAGGCAATACGCTCTGATTCTGAAATGCTCCCTGTGGGATAAGCAGCCGTGTAGACCACAGAACAAAACCGGGTTGCAGAGAGCCATTGCTGGTAGGCCTAGTTGGAGCACTCCTGATACGCGTCTGAGATGCTTCCAGTTTAAGTTGACACCTGGCAGAGGACGGAACAAAACTGTGGCGCAGAAGTGATGCCACACAGCCGTACTCAGTAGACTTTTATAGTTAGACTTTCAAAATAAAACTAGTGGTTAACGTCGTGAAATGTCGGAATTTCGTTAGGTTTAGGCACCAAAACTACTCGGAAGGGATTATGATTTAAGTTAAAATAACTACATTACTTATGTGACTTAAGTTAAGTAATGTTACCTATGTAACTTACGTAACATAACTAAAAACCATCAGTATTGACTTTTTGTTCCACACGGGAAACAAACATGAGGCTTTTGGGTGAAAGTCCAGTTTCTGACCCAACTGTCCACCCCAACTACCTCCTTACTCTTACTTCCCATAGTGCATTGAACAATGACGCTAATGGCTGCCATGTGTCTTGGTACCGTCTTGGACAGCAAAGGATGTGACAAAGTGTAGGTATTTGACACCCTGAGAATGAGAACTCCTACGCCAGCGATGCGATTACCTGCTTAAGATCCCTGCAAGCCAGCTCATTTAGCCTGTGGCTATAACACATAGTCTGCCAGATAACTTCACATGCTAACAGAAGCAACGAAGTAACTTGGCTAAATGCCTAACAGCATTGCCAGCTAACAACTAGCACGCCAAAACAACTTCTCTTCCTCTACGGACTGGTATCGCACCTGGGCAAAACATAGCTTAACTGTGCATTTGGCTAAGCACAGGTCTGTTTTTGTTCAGTGCACATGTAATGTTACTGATGCATTTTCACTGAGGTTTTCTGTTGTGATCTTCATGGTTAACGCATGGTTATCATTTTGGTTATTATTTAGTGGGAGAGAGAGCACATTCCAATGTGCTGGACACCAGGCACTGTGAAGAAGATAGCCAAGGAACAGCCAAAGAGGAAAAGGTCTGAAGAGTATAAACAGTAGAAAGTTACATGAACAGTCAAGGATGAAGGCGTTTCAACGCTGGCGAAACCTCAGAGACTTGAAATTTGGGGAGGAAGCACTGAAGAGAGGGTTATATTTGTTTGGCAGAGTTCAAATATCAATAATACTTCTCCAGAATCACTTACTGTCCTGTATCTTATGTCACAAGCCAACTCTTAGCTTGTGACAAAAAAGAGATGAGACACAACAGGTTTGCAAGCCAATGGTATGATTTATTATAAAAGTAAAAGAATCAAATGATCACCAATAATATGTGGTGTGGCAAAGTATGACTATCAGTTGTGTCAGCAGTGAATGGATGAGTGAGGTGTATGTGTGAGTTGTCAGGATTAACCAAAGAAGAAACACAAGACAAACCCGGTAGGACATCGGCCTAGGAGGGGAGAGAACAAAAGACTGATCAGTCCTGGCTAAATAAGCTCTGAAGGTAGAGCTGCACAGGTGATTTCCCAGCCCAATCAGCCTCCCTGCCTGCAGCCTCCTGCAGGAGAAGGAAGCAGGAAGGGGGAGGGTCTGTAACACTTATGAGACTAAATTAGGTAATTGGCTATCAATTTCCTCTTTTTTAAGAGCTGCTGTGAAAAAGGTCTATAAGTCTGCAAATTGCTCATTTGTCTACAGAGATAGCTCTGTTGTTATCGCTGTGAACTCCAGACCAAAACCTCTCAGCATCCACTGGGGAGAGGTCAAAAGTACATCTTTACAGCTCACTAATATATACATTCATGTTTAAAGGTTCAGTGTGTAAGTTTTAGTGACATCTAGTGGTGAGGGTTGCGAATTGCACCCACCCTCCCCTATCCAAGCAAGTTGTATAGCTACGGTGCCTGAGACAGGACAAAGATGTCATCTATGAGATAGCAGAGAGTTGCCAGTCAAGAATTGAGGTTTCTTTTGATAGATATATTAAAAAGATACAACTCAGTTTATAAGAAGATTATATTTACTTATTTATTGTTACTTGTTCATTAATAAACAACAGCCACATCAAGAAATGAAGTGCTACATGATGTCTCATACTCCTGTAATACAGTATTTTACAACTTGGGAGGGTTGGCTCATCTGGACTAACATACCAAAGTAAATGAAGAACATCTCAAACACTATCACATCTAGTACATCAAGTATGACCACTGACAGATAACAGGACAATGTAAGCCTCACTGTTTCTGCACCACAGTCCATTATAAACCACATAATACATGAAGTTTACAAATGCATTGTAAGGTGATGATCAAGGCTCCTCTCACTTTGCTTACCGTAAAACTTCAATTAATAACCGAGTCCCAAATAGCCGCCTATCCCGTTTACTGGCCTGGTGTGGGAACACATTTTAACAAATAAACGCCTGCCTCAATTTAACGCCTGGTCTAGTTTTTATGGAAGTTGTTTGTATGTATAAAACCTCTTAAAGCCTGCGGGGTCGCCCGCTTTAGCTGCTTCTAAGCTGCTTAGATCGTTAATACAAATATTAATGTTTAAACGTATGGTCAATATGTCCGTATGAACATGCTACACATCGTTAGATCGGTTAGATTCTCTACAATGCAATAGTTCAGACCATTTAAGGGAAACAACAAGCCCCTAAGTCTAATTCTTGTAGATTTACCGGTGTAACCTGCCTGATACAAGAGAGAAAAGGAAAAAAAGTGATAACTGCCATTACCTTTGAAGCGCTCGTTAAGCCCAAATGTGTCGTTCCTTGTTTATTTATATTCCTTTTGTCTGTAAGGGTCCACCCATCAAAAGAATCAAAACAGCTTTTCATAAAAATTAATCCAAGTTGTGAATCCTGTCATGTGAAGTCCATTGCTCTCTGCAGTTCTCTCATCCTGCACCATGTTGTTGTCGTGATGTTACTTCAAAATAAAAGCGCAAAAACTGTCTATCGAAGCTAGATCAAATGAATGGCGTGTATTTGATCTTATTTGATCATTTTTATACAAGTATTATTCTGTTTCATAGTATTTTCAGTTTTGTGCAAAAGGAATTAAAGGCCTGTCCCATATGGACGCCTGTCCCAAATATAGGCAGGGTCAATTCAGTGATTTTAGCAAATAAAAGCCAAGGCTATTATTCAAAGTTTTACGGTAATTAGATAAGCAATCTGCAAATATTACCAAAATCCATCCATCCATCGTCCACCGCTGCGTATCCTGCGTACAGGGTCGCGGGGGGCTGGAGCCAATCCCAGCTGGCATCGGGCGGACAGGTCGCCAGTCCATAGCAGGGCCACACATAGACAAACAACCACTCACGCTCACACCTAAGGACAATTTAGGGTCACCAATCAACCTAGGCCGCATGGGTGGGAGGAAGCCGGAGCACCCGGAGAGAACTCACGCAGACACGGGGAGAACATGCAAACTCCACACAGAAAGGCCTGGGCAACCAGGGTTTGAACCCACTGCACCACCGTACTGCCGATATTACCAAAATGTCTTTTTTAATTTTTTAAAATACAACAGAAACACAAAGTAGTACTGACAGCCATAATTTCAGCTTGTGGTATAATGGTGCAATGTTTTTAATGGGCATTTAGCATGTGAAAGTACAAATTACACATTTGTGTGCAAAGTGGCAAATCAATATCCAAAAACACCTTTTTTTAATGCAAATTATGGACCATCACCAGCCATAGTAATGAAAGTATTCATTATTGGTCACTTGATAGGCACATGGTCTTGTTATATATCACCATTAGCAGTAAAAAGAAATACATGTTTTCCACCAATAAAATGTGAAGCTTAGCTCCTGATCTGAGCTTCACTGCTGTTACAGTTTCATTACCAATAATATTCATCATCTGTCTCAAGAAGGTAACGGCACATTTCTGTCCACGTAACAATGCCATAACAGAGGCTTGAGAAGAAATACATGAAATTACAATCCAACTATATATTTTTTCTACCAGCGCAGTAAAAGTTTAGCTGGATGATCTGAGCTTGAATGCTGGAAGCTGCCGTTTTATTGCCAATTAGTGATCAGCTGATTGTCTCACAAACCTAACCGACAAAGCCAAAACAGAGCGCTGGAGAGAGAGAGAGAGAGTAACTACATGCTGTATTTTACACCACAAGCCAAAGCCAGCGCTGGAGAATAAACCAATCCAACTAACCTTACATGATTTTTCTTCCAGGGCAGTAAAAGTTTAGCTGGCTGATGCTTCCATGCTCTAAGCTAACGTTAAGGTTTTATTGCCAATTAACGTTACTGATCAGCTGATTGTCTCGCTATCATAACCAGCAAAGCCAACCCACAGGCTGGAGAATAAGTAGGCGACATGAAATTAATGCAACTACATATTGACAGAGGAAAAACCTCACCTCTCTCGTGATTATAGCCAGCTTCTAGCTAAAGCTATCAAACAACAGCTTTCATTTGCATCGCTAAAGTCTGACAAACTTAAGTTAATTACCTGTCCAGCAGACAACAGACAACTTCAGCACCACTTTTTTGTCCAAATGTCACTTCTCTTCTTACTTCTAATAAACCAGAGGACTTCTCAGAGACTGATTATTATTATTATTATTATTTCCTCTTCTTCTTCTACGGACACATTTAATGTAGTGACGACACTGCCAGAATTTTACAAGGAAAAGAAGAATGCCGTGATGAGGAAACGCGCTCTGTAGCGTTGTTTGTCCGTTGTTGGCTATTGTAGAAACATGACGACAAAATGCGGCGACCTCCATAGAAGGGGGTGCCCGCGGTTATGTAGATAAAAATGGCCCATTCTAAGGTAATAAAAAGATAATGGTTCATTATGTAAGGTCTTTATACACCACTGAAAACATAGTTATGGATATTAATTGCATTTCTGTCAATAGATCCTCAGAAATATTACACACTGAACCTTTAAAAAAGGTCAGAGTCAGAATAAACTGCAGAGCGTCTGTTCATGGAGATGAAGCAACACGTCACCCAGTGCAGCAGTGAGGCTCACTGCTTTAATAGTTTTAACAACAATGGAGCTCTGTTGCTCAGAGGAATCAGAATCAGAAGGAGCTTTATTGCCAAGTAGTTTTACACATACGAGGAATTTGCTGTGGTGATAAGGTGCTACACGTAGACAAACATACAGTTGACATAAATAAATGTAGAAATATATAAATATGGAATGGAAGAACAACATTGCAGATATATACATGAGAATTATTCTGGGTCTGTGCCGTGCAGAAGTAACGTAACGGAAGAGAATATTGTGTACATATAAATATATAAACTGACAACATAATAATACAACAACAAAGATCAACAACAAATATGCGCAACGTGCCAGGTCTGTGCACGACACGAGATGAAACAGTATATACATGTACAGAGACATTTGTATCATTTGCAATGGGGGAGTGTGAGTGGGGAACCCGGGACTTGTTAATGAGGCTAGCTGCAGACGGGAAGAAGCTGTTTTTGTGGCGAGAGGTTTGGGTACTGATGGACCGCAGCCTCCTGCCAGAGGGGAGAGTCTGAAACAGTTTGTGTCCGGGGTGGGGAGGAGTCAGCTGGAATCTTTCCTGCACGCGTCCTCGAGGCATACAGGTCCAGAAGAGAAAGGAAGATTGCAGCCAATCACCTTCTCTGCAGAGCGAATGATGCGTACCAGATGGTGATGGAGGAGGTGAGGATGGATGGCGGTGTAGAAGTGCACCATCATTGTCTTTGGCAGGCAGAACTTTAAGCTGCTACAGGAAGTACATCCTCTGCTGAGCCTTTTTGATGATGGAGGTGATGTTCAGTTCCCATTTGAGGTCCTGGGAGATGATGGTGCCCAGAAGGCGGAAGGAGTCCACAGTGGTGACTGGGGAGTCACAGAGGATGATGGGGGAGGGTGGGGCTGGGCTCTTTCTAAAATCCACAAATATCTCCACTGTCTTCTGAGCGTTGAGCTCCAAACTGTTCTGGCTACACCAGGTCACCAGAAGGTCAATCTACCACCTGTTGGCGGACTCATCCCAACCTGAGATGAGCCCAATGAGGGTGGTGTCGTCCACAAACTTCAGGAGCTTGACAGACTGGTGACTGGAGGTGCAGCTGTTGGTGTACAGGGAGAAGAGAAGGGGCGAAAGAACGCAGCCTTGAGGGGATCCAGTGCTGATGGTCCTGGAATCAAAGACATGTTTTCCCAGCTTCACGTGCGGCTTCCTGTCTGTCAGGAAGTCTGTGATCCACCTGCAGGTGGAGTCAGGCGCGCTCAGCTGGGAGAGCTTATCCTGCAGCAGGGCCGGGATGGTGGTGTTAAAAGCAGGGCTGAAATCCACAAACAGGATCCTGGCGTAGGTTCCTGGGGAGTCCAGTTGCTGGAGGATGTAGTGAAGGGCCATGTTTACTGCATCGTCTACATCGTCTATCGTGGGGCTGGCCAGCTCTGAGGAGGGGGGGAAGAAGTGGTGGACTGATAGTGCTTTCAGACCAAAAGCGAAGCAAGCGTTCGGGGCGGTGAGTTTACATACGAAGTCAATGCAAAGACGCGTAGAGCCGCAATTTCCTGTTGGGCGGCGCGAAGTGGCGGGGCCGGCGGCGCAAAGGCAACACGAAGGAATTCGCATGACGCTGAGTCGCGATAGTCTATCAACGTTGAGATTGTCTGTACGTCACCGACAGCTTCAGAGCGTTGTGTGGAGAGGGCAAGGCAGAGCGGGGGATTGAAAATCTGCTGGCTGGTTTAGAGCTGCTAAACTTGGGCTACAGGAGCAGGGAGCAGCGCTCCAGCTTTCGGACAAATAAACACCTGTGGTCAGACTGGACTTTGCTCGCAACTACACCGTTTGCTCGAGGGAGGAGCTCGGAGTTAACTGCTTTTATTAAATAAGCTTTTTACTTTAGTTTATGGGATTACAACGTTGATTTATCTTCACTCAAGCTTCTCAGCAGGGAGATTCCGTGTACATCCGCTTCCAGTGTTGTTAGCGTCATTTGGCACTACTATATAAATAAAAACTGCACAAAACTGGACATTGTTGGGAGAAAAGAAAGCGAGGAGGTTGAACTACCTGGTGAGTTAAGAAAATGCGTGTATGTAACTTTAGTCCAGCTATCGTTGTACTTTACTGTGACCAAGTTAGCATAGCCCTGATCGATCCGAACTCCATTCAGAAAACAAACATTTTAGAAGTTGTTGTCCTGCTGTCTTGCTGACAGACCTGACAAAGCATGAATTCATATGTTTAACAAATCTGCATCATATTGTAGTTATTTCGGCATCAGTTTGATCCGTTTATTGCTATTTAAAGCAAAATGTTTACTTTGGGTTCATACAGCTGTAGTAATGGAAAGTTGTGTTTATTAACGTTATCATGTTAAAATCGCCTTCTTGCGTTGTGTGTGAACACTTGCAGCGACTGTACTCACGCGAGGAAAGCGTCGCGAGGCGAAAATTCGCGTTTGGTCCTAATGCGGCATGAGGATGTTGGTGCCATTTACCTTGGAAGTCGGAGGTCGGAGCTGGGAATGACGTCACACCCGAGTTGACGGCGTTCCAGTTACAAGTCGGAAAACCTCGCTCAGCCAGTCGTTGTTTACAACTAGCCAGGTTAGCTATTGATACGGCAGTTTGGGAATAAAAAACGCATTGTGTCATTTTGTGTACAAAAATTTCTATGAGACACAGAAGTGCCAATACACAGTATAAACTTGAGCTTTCACTAAGTGTTGGTTCCCCCGACAGCCATCTTGGATCACGAAGTCAGGGTAGGGCGACTTAAGGGGCCGTTCCCTTTGAAATTTTGACCTTTGAACTCGGAAATTCCGACTTCCCATGTCAAATGGAACGCACCATATAGCTGAGCAGAGGCTACGAGCATTGCTATTGGTTGACGTCCCAACACTCAATATCTGCCATTGTTTTGCAGGTCCAAGAACAAGATGTCAAGAAGACATTTAGAGAAACCTTGGACAACTCTGATACACTGCTTGCACATTTTTCACTCCGTTCTAAGATGCTTCATTCACCTTCTGAACCAAAGACGGTAAGCTGAGACACTAAAATATTGATCTGTTGATCTTTATTATACCTCTTCTTTTGTGTCACTGTTGGACATAATGTTGCTATGGCCATGGTGTCTTATGTGTGTGTGTTTAATCATAGTACCTCACCAATACATAATGGAAACATTCTCCCCCTACAGAGGAAATGATCTTACATTTTAAAGCATCTTGCTACATTCATTTGAATATAAGTTAATAAAAACAGTTTTGGAAATCATAACGTCTCTGTCCAAAGCTATAATCCGTAAAGCTGCACCAGTCAATATGTGTTAACACTGACTCAGATCACAAGCTGTTGCTTGCAGTGACAAACTCACACAGAATTAATTGGTTTTTATTTTGCTTTTATGACACACACACACACACATACACACTGCTCTCATTACCTGGTTTCAAGCATACAGACAAAGATACTTGAGACTTGCTGGTGCAGCTAAAGAGCCTGATAGTTCTCTCAGGAGATGTTGGACTTGATTTCATTAGGTAGACACACACACAGTATAATAAATGCTTATGTTGCTCAGTGTCTGCTCTGTAAATAGGCACACTGTTGTTTGCATTCACCACTGTTGCGTTTACAGCTTATTGTGCTGCCCCCAAGTGACAAAAAATATCCACTAATACTGCATTTAAGGCATTGCACACCTATGCTTTGCTGTCTGTACCTGTTAGGGTGGGACAAATTAAATCTTTACCATTCTTAAGTTCAAGGAATTTAGTGGGATCACGTAATTCTGCCCACCTTCAACCTCAGCAGAGGTCTTACCAGCCAAAATAAGTGAAGGAAGGAAATAGTTTATTATCACATACACAGACATACACAGTACAACATCTAGTGGAATTAATTCTCTGTATTTCATCCATCTCACAGGTGCATCTCAAAATATTAGAATAGCATGGAAAAGTTCATTTGAACTTCACTGAACAAGACTCAGAGATTAAAGGCTCAGGAAAACTTTGCAGGTGTTTTGAGTTAATTAACTGATTAGAGCTCTTCTCGGGTCAACATTTCTGTATTTAAAATATATAAATATTATAATGAATCTAAAATACTGTATATGAAAGTCTCACTTTTTGATTAAAATTACAGCAGAAAATGAACTTCATGACAATGAAATCTTTTGAGATGCACCTTTATTAGGAACAGTAGGCATTACCTGGTGACCAAATCCAGTTCTAAGCCAGTGATTTGTTTAAGAGTGAACACCTGTCGGGGTGTGCAGGGCCATTAAAGTTTTCAGTTGGTGTTGGAGATGGTGGGTATATTTGGGTCCCAGAGTTGAATTAAAAATGACACGTGTAGACCAGAAGGGGCAGCAATCACACAATGAGCAGCTACTGCTAAAAGAAAAACAGCTGTTATATACAAACTGTGGGCTAAGAGGAGTATTTATATCATGAGCAACAAAGAAGACTCAACAGCTGTGCTTTCTCTCTCAAATCTCAAATTAATAGCTCAGGTGGTGAAGCAGGTTGGCCAGTAATCTTAAGGTGGTGGAGGAAAAAATCGTCTTCCAAATGACTAAAATGTCATGTCCGGCATGAAGTCCAGTACATGTATGCAACATTTCCTGTCAATTACTTATGGCTGGATATAGGACTGCAACTATCGACTACTTTCATTATCAATAAATCTGCTGATTATTTTCCCAAAATGGGGTTATATATATATATATACAGACACATAATATTAAACATTACAACATTATCAAAATGTGGGAAGTATGCTTATTTGCTATCAAATCCACACTCTGATGAGACCAATATCAGTTCAGCTTATCATCTCTGTGAATCCAATACAAAGATAGATCTGGGACATGTTAGCCTAGTTTAGCACAAAGACTGGGAGCAGTGGGATGCTGCTAACACCTTCAAAATAAAAAGCTTTTAAAACAACTTTAAACACAGGCTTCATTTAAAGTCGCCCACATTCTGTGAAGCCAAGTAAGTAGTCATTAGAAATATTTGCTAATCAGTACGTTAATTAGCTCAATGAATGACCGTATAAGTATCGCCGCTTTATTTATAATTAAAGGTGCAAGCAGCGTTGGGCGGGCCCTCGCACTTGTAGCGCGTCCGGGTGTGAGCCGGCCGAGTTGCATATTCTGGAGCTCTGCCGGTGCGGCTGTGAATTTGCTACGCGGTTCCGACGCCGCATGAAGGTGTTATATGTCACTTCCTGTGTCCCCTATGTGGCGCTACATAGCACTTGCCGCTATAAATATAAATCGATATTGGTGTGTAGATGTCTGCGGAGTGGGAGAGTTATCAAGCACGTAAAGTTTGGTGCAGATGTGAGCATGTACTCTGAAGTTACAACAACTTCCTGTGTCACGGCAAAGAGTTGATCTTTGACGCCACGCCACGGACACGCCCATTGACTTCAATGCCTTTAGAAGGCACAGCAGAAATTTGAAGTCGGTCGGACAAAATCCCTAGGAGGAGTTTGTTAAAGTACGAAGTGTGTAAATCATCCAAAATTTGACGTAAAAATTCAAAATGGCCGACTTCCTGTTGGTTTTAGGGCATCGCTCCAAGATGCTTTTTTGTGCGTCTGGACATGATACACGTACCACAGAAAATTTGTACACGTAGGTGAAACGTGCGGCGGGGGCTACTTCGATAAAAGTCACTTCCTTGACGGCATGTCGGCATGTACATGTGTTCAGGGCGGGACTCTCATCCTACATGTACACTTTGGTCCAGATGTGAGCATGTTGGGAGCCTAAACATATTCGAAAACTCACCAAACTTTGCACACATGTCAGAACTGGTGAAAAATTTCGTATTTTATGGGTTTCGCGCATGGGCGTGGCAAAATGACTCGCTAGCACCACCTAGAAAATTGGAAAAAATTTGCCCCTCGTTCACGTTCAACCTACATGCACGAAATTTTCTGGGGACATGTATCATATCAAGACGCACAAAAAAGCCTCAAGAACCCATACCCTAAAGTCAACAGGAAGTCGGACATTTTGAATTTTACGGCCATTTTTGGATGATTTACACACTTCGTACTTTAACGAACTCCTCCTAGGGATTTAGTCTGACCGACCTCAAATTTCTGCTGTGCCTTCTAAAGGCATTGAAGATGAAAAGTTGTGCTATCTGTGAGTTTTCGTCAATGGGCGTGTCCGTGGCGTGGCGTCAAAGATCAAGTCTTCGCCATGACACAGGAAGTTGTTGTAACTTCAGTGTATATGCTCACATCTGGACCAAAGTGTACATGTAGGATTAGAGTCCCGCCTTGAACACATGTACATGCCGACATTCACCCACAGTCATAGCGCCACCTGCTGGCAACAGGAAGTGACATTTAACGAAGCAGCCCCCGCCGTACGTTTCACCTACATGTACGAATTTTCTGTGGTACGTGTATCATGTCCAGACGCACAAAAAAGTCTCTTGGAGCGATGCCCTAAAACCGACAGGAAGTTGGCCATTTTGAATTTTACGTCACATTTTGGATGATTTACACACTCCGTACTTTAACGAACTCCTCCTAGGGATTTAGTCTGACCGAATTCAAATTTGTGCTTGTGCTTGTGCCTTACGTGCTTGATAACTCTCCCACTCCGCAGACATCTACACGCCAATACCGATTTATATTCATAGCGGCAAGTGCTATGTAGCTCCACATAGGGGACACAGGAAGTGACATATAAAACCTCTATGCAGCGTCGGAACCGCGTAGCAAATTCACAGCCGCACCAGCAGAGCTCCAGAATATGCAACGCGGCCGGCTCACACCCGGACGCGCTACAAGTGCGAGGGCCCGCCCAACGCTGCTTGCAGCTTTAATATATCATGGTGATTACTATGGTAGGTTATTAGCTCAAGTGCCTCCTGTTAGTTCCAGCAGATGAGACTTTTAATTTATGATTTTTTCTACTTGACTGCATTTGACTTCAGCAGAAAAAAGAACACAGAGTCTGTTATCAGCCCCTGAGTTTCTCATTGCATTTGTTTAATTCATTTCAATTTGACGCATTGTGTTTAAACAAGGTTGTAAGAATAGCCTGAACAGACATACACCCTCCAGGTTGACAACACTCATGAACATATACATCAACAGTGACACCAAGGATCAGTCTCCCTGCTGGTTGAGTTCACACTTTCAGCTACACATCATACTGCTCCTACTTTAGCGTACTGCATTTGCTGTAGTGCACTGGTGAGTGATGTGACTGTGGTGTCTGTAGTGTTCCCACACAGATAACACACTGTTGGAGGAAGATTCAGGAACACCTAAGAGGACAGCGACCCAGGATGACCCACCTTTTGGAGCAGAGGAGTTGAAGGGCCGTGATGGGACCTCAGACACTGGTACACATCCTGTAAGTGAACCTTTCCTTTCCTTTCTGACCACTGCACCACCCTGATTCCCATATGGGTCAAGGCAAGGCAAATTTATTTATATAGCACCTTCCAGACACTACAGTCAGTGCTTTACAGACACCAAGATACAAAAACACATACAAAGGTACTTTATAATATAAAGGTAGATAATTAATAAGCAATAGATAATAAAATCAAGATTAAAACAAAAAATATCTACCTGTCAAAAGTGCATTACATATTTGAGAAAGCAAATAAAAAATAAAAAACACAGAAAAGGATACATTAAAATACTAAAAATAAATAAAATAAAAATTTATATTAAAAACACAATAAAAATTAAAGCTGCAAGCAGCGTTGGGCGGGCCCTCGCACTTGTAGCGCGTCCGGGTGTGAGCCTGCCGAGTTGCACATTCTGGAGCTCTGCCGGTGCGGCTGTGACTTTGCTACGCGGTTCCGACGCCGCATGAAAGTGCTATATGTCACTTCCTGTGTCCCCTATGTGGAGCTACATAGCACTTGCCGCTATGAATATAAATCGGTATTGGTGTGTAGATGTCTGCGGGGTGGGAGAGTTATCAAGCACGTAAAGTTTGGTTCAGATGTGAGCATGTACACTGAAGTTACAACAACTTCCTGTGTCATGGCAAAGACTTGATCTTTGACGCCACGCCACGGACACGCCCATTGACGAAAACTCGCAAATAGCACAACTTTTCATCTTCAATGCCTTTAGAAGGCACAACAGAAATTTGAAGTCGGTCGGACTAAATCCCTAGGAGGAGTTCGTTAAAGTACGGAGTGTGTAAATCATCCAAAAATGGCCGTAAAATTCAAAATGGCCGACTTCCTGTTGGGTTTAGGCTATGGCTCCAAGAGACTTTTTCTGTCTGGACAAGATACACGTACCACAGAAAATTTGTATACATAGGTGAAACATGCGGCGGGGGCTGCTTCGATAAAAGTCACTTCTTGTTGCCAGCAGGTGGCGCTATGACTGTGGGTGAATGTCGGCATGTACATGTGTTCAGGGCGGGACACTCAAACAGCCCAGTATCTGAAGACCTGAGGGGTCTAGCAGGCTTCCCTTTGAAGGAAGTCATTAATGTAAATTGGTCCTAGCTCATTGACTTCTTTATATATAAGATGAATGCATGTATGATTTTGTCAAGGTCCTCCTTGGACATGAGATTCTTGATTTTTGAGATATTTTTAGGTGATAGTAAGCTGATTTTGTAATAGTTTTGATGGGACTGTTAAAATTTAATTCTGAGTCAATAATTATACCGAGATTTTTGACTTGAGTTGTGGTTGATCATGAAAGGGATTCGAGGTGAGCAACTTTAAGTCTCTCCTCTTTGGCACCAAAGACAATAAGTTCTGTTTCACTGGAATTGAGTTGCAGGAAATTGCAGCGCATACAGTTCTTCAGTGCATTTGGTTAGTGAATCAATTGGATCATATTCATCAGCTAATAATGCCATGTAGATTTGAGTGTCATCTGTCATCTGCCATCATAATTTGGACAATTGGCAGCATGTAAAATTAAACTGGAGAGGCCCGAGGATCCCTTGGGGAACTCCACGTCATTTTTATTCTGTTAGATGCACAGTTGCCAATGCATACAAAGTAGTCTCTGTCTTTTAAGTAGGACTTAAACCATGTTAAAACTGTGACAGACAGACCTACATGTTTTTCCAGTCTATCCACAAGCATGTCATGGTCTACAGCAGTGGTCAGTAATAGGCGGCCCGTGGGCCAGAAGTGGCTCGCCAGCAATAATATCAGATTGCTTTGATAGCAGAAAAAAATGAAATGCTGAAATGGATCTCAGTCATGACAGCAACAGTTACTCACATAACCACTTCCTCTTAAGTGATTAAGAGGACGTCTTTTGCAGCAATGCTTCATGTCGAGTTTATTAAGAGCTTTTAGAAGGACATTCAAAAGTGTCTCTGGCTTGCTTGACACACCTCTGAAAAAGCGTCAGTGAACGTGTGATTGGATTCCCCTGGATTTTCTCAGGGAAATGAAAATAAGTGTCCATAGGTTTATGATTGACGAGCTCCTCAACTGACAGCACGGATGATGTGATCATTCCTGCACATTTTTTGCATTCTAACTAAAAATATGTTTCAGTTGACACTCCTCTGTATATCCATCCCCACAACTGTACTGTTCTGTACATGGTTTCTAAACATCAGCGTGAGCTGGGATATGAGGGATTAGTATCTAATCACTGATCTAGGATCTACTGACAGAAATGCAATATATTATCCATAATACATAATGAATCATAATACTTTTATTACCTTAGAATGAGCCATTTCTATCTACATACACCGCCGGTCCTCTTTCATGGAAGTCGCCATGTTGCACTGCCATGATTCTACAGTAACCCAAAAGGCTCTACAGAGCGCATTTCGTCACTACACTGAATACATACAAAGAAGAAGAAGTAGTAGTAGTAGTAATACTAATAATAGTAGTAGTAGTAGAAAAGAAGAGAAATTTGGACAAATGGAGGACCACGCGTATTATTTAGCACAAGAGAGCATGTCGGCCACCGAAGCTTCTCCTGCACGCTTGGAAAGGGAGGAGGGAGCAATGACTGATGGTGCATCAGTGGCAGTGACATTTTTAACTAGGCTGGCACAGTGACCTGTCTGGCTCATCATGTTAACTGTAGTGAACAACGGTGTGGATTTGTGCATTTTACATTGAATAAATTTGGAGCTACCCTAAATTCCTTTCTCCTCCCCAGAGAAGATGGGGAGGGGTCAAAGTTGCTTTCTCTAAGTGCTATCCCGACCATAAAACTGGCACCTTTTTGATTCCGAAGCTGATAACGCGGGGCCTGACTGTTGATCTGACAAAGAGATATGAACCAGCCATTGGCATCTCCCTGAACAGCCTATCAAAACTGGCCCCCCACACACGTTTCCGTGGCAACTGACCTTATTCTTTGTTTTATTACCACATCAAAAAGGAAAACCCCTGTCTCACCCAAGTGTGACATGGTCCAAACACTGAACTTTGGATGACAAAGGACTGCAGTCTCCAAAGACTCAAAGCATTTAATTAAATCTTTAGTTACCTGATTACGTTTGCCTCTATTTGAGTAGTTATGTTAACTGTTGTTGCTATCTGTTGTTGATATTAGTGCTGAAAAGAAGTTACTTGTGCAGTGTTTTTATTTTCAGCAAGACACTCCTTCATCTGATGTGATCAATGCTTGTTCATAATACTTTCCTACAAAATTTCTTTAGAAATGATGACAAAGGAATGTTTTACTATACTCTTAATCGCCAGCTTGAATTTAAGGATGAATCAACAAATTCCCCGGTTCCTAAGGAGAGACGATCTTTGATTTAATCCAAGCTGTCCTCATGTAACCTGAGTTCCCCCAAGTGGACAAAATAAGTATTACATGCCCTCGTCGGAAATGCCGTTAAATGTATAAATATCCTGACCACTAATGTGACAATGGTTTCCTGTTACCCAATGCCTAGAACAGTACAACCGTTCAACCATTGAGGTTCGATTGTGGAAAATATTTGATTATAATACGTGCAAATAGATTTCTTTTCTTTTAGACATTAAGTTTAGAAAGGCAGTCCCTGAGTCCCTGTTGCCCCAGGCAACAAAAGAGCGACACGCGACCTGCTCGCGCTCTTCTCTTCGCTGTTGGCTCTTTCACCCTGCTCGGCCCTCTGGACGCTTCGGCACGCGCAGCGTGCCTCGCCAGGCAACGCCCAGACTCAGCCAGCGAAACAAACAGGCCCTTTTGTTCGCCTGAAGCTACACACCTGAAGTGCTGCGACATCGATCTGCCTTCAGTTTTTTTTTATTTCTTTATTTCTTTTGTTTGTTAAAGTTATGAGTCCGTTAAGTTACACTGGACTAATTCAGGAACGACCAAGTTCCATTTTAAGCCTTTTTCGTCGAGCCAACTTCACCGAGGTCAGACCAAGCCACGTGGTCTCGCCAGCTACAACGAAGGAAACCTGAAAACAGCCGAATTGCCAGACGGAGGAGGCGTTTTCAATCAGACACGGAGAACCCTGGAGAATCCCTAGCAAAAAGCCAGGATCGGCAGCTAGAGTGGGACAAGCAACAGGCCAAAAGCAGACGGTCGACAAGCAGTAAGACTTAACACACATTCTGTGATCAGATGTCCATTTTAACTCCTAAATTATGACATTAGTTTACTTTCATTAGTTCTTCTATGCCATATGAGTCAAATGCTTCCCACAACCGAACCTCCAGGCTCATTGTTCAGCAAATGTTTGTTCCCTGTATCCAACCATCTTTTTATCACCTTAGTTAGAGAATAAATTCACTGTAATATAACCAAGAGCTGTGTGTGTTGCCTATTTATAGTTCCTGCCAAGAGAATTGACCCTTTAGATATGAGACTGACTGACTGATTTAAGATAATTGAGCGATTATTAACTAACTGATCACTAGTAATAATTGTATAATTATTCAAAACTACCTAGAGGTCCGGAGACTCTAGGATTATAACAACTCCGGTGGTGCCCTGAAACGAGGAATTAAATAAAATGATTTTATGAATCTTAAAAATTCATAATTGGGTATCAATTCTTAGAAATTTATTTAAATGCATAACTAATAAATTTAGGTCTGCTACATAGCTTACTATGTCAGTACCAAGCGGCAACCTACCGGTTTCCTGGGTGAAGCCAAACCAGAAATGCCTAAAACTGCAATTCATCGAGTGGCCACTTGAGGCTGGCTCCAAAAGGGAGTCAATCTCCATTGACCTCCATGTTAAAAAGCCCAACTTTACAGCAGAATAATGTGTGAACATGTTTACAGCCTGGTACAAAAGATGGATTTAGTGTATATTGCTAATTTTGCCCTTCATGACAACTGTGAGGGGGGTGAATTGTTTTTATAACTCACCCGTTTGAATTATATTAAGCCTTGAAGTTCTGCATTATTAGGGGCGTGGCCGCTTTGATTGACAGGTTCT